CTTTTGCTGGTGGGAATGGTGGCAGATTGAAAAGGTTAGGGTTAGGTCAATTTCTTACATCAGTACTGCTCCCATACAGCAGGGAATGGCATCATTTACCAAATCCCACAGGTATGGCTTGATCTTCATCCGTAAAAACCACAACAGAAAGAAAGATGTTTGGACACATTCTTTGAATGCCAAAAGCAAAACCCTATTACTTTGACAAACAAGTCCTCAGCAGAAGCTAGGGTTAAGAAAGCTTGCTCCAGAAACCCTAGCAGCATCAGGACATGATTTTCTCAATCTGTATTCTTCGAAGTGGTCCATATAATTCGACAGAAAAAAGATTACATTACTGGAAGGAAAGTATGTGTGTTTGGATCAGCAGACATGAACCGAAACTCCCGTGTCCCTTTGCACCGACGCATGCAAAAGAACAAAGGTTGAATTACACTAATACTTAGTTTCTGTAATTTTTTGCCTTTGTGACTGTAATTTTTTATGGCATTTTCTTCTTGTTGTATTGTCCCTATAGTGCGATTAGTCGGTTTTTCAAATGAAAAGATGTGCACAAAAGTTGATGGAGAAATCTACTTAATTGACGGATTGGACTAAAAAAACCAAACTATAAAGAATTTTTTTTTAACTAAACAAATGGAACCGTCTATGCACCTGTTAGTAATTACACCTTTCTTAAATTTTCAAGATTAGGACTTCGTTTCTATCATTTTGGTTGATGATCAACAAAAATATCGTCGATATATAGTGATTCACTATGTAGATGTAGGTTATATTGTACAGAGAGACTTGCTGCCTTTAAAAGAGTAAAGTAGGGAGCCTCTCATTTTAGAAAGAGCCTCTCATTCTAAATCATAGCCACTTTACTCTCTCAAAGGTAACAAGGTTTTTTGTACAATGTAATCTACATTTACATTGTGAAAATGAAAACTACACCAACTTGGACGTAACTTCAATTGGGGTTGCTCAACCACGACATATCCTTGTGTTTTTTTTGAATTTGTCTAATTTACTCTCGTATTTAAGTTGATATAACTTTTACATACCAATAATATTCGTAAATTAGACTGTCGATATATATATCAGGAAAAACCGACCTATAAAACCTTTGCATGGAGGAAACTGCAAACACAGTAAACAAATTGGATTATCAGTGCAATTAGACCAAGAAAAAACAAAAGGCACCTTCCTGATCTCTTAATTAACTAATTTACGTTTGTATTTTGTTCTTAAAACAAGGGACTTTTACGACGGTAAAATAATAGTGTATGTAGTGGACTGTGAAAAGAACCATCCTTCTGCCGTGGTGAATAAAAATTGTAAGTTGAGGACAAAATCATAGCAGCCTGCAACTAGCAGAGAGCCTTATTTGCCTTCCAAGATTGCAGAATCCCAAAGTCCTCTGAGCACTCCACTATAACCCGAACACTGACTACTTTATACAAAAGCCGTTTCGCATTTCAAAAAGTTTCTGAGCTTGCTTCATATACCTAGCTTCCTTATTAACAAACTTAATTGGCTAGGGTTTAGGTCATTCTAAAGACCTTAGCTTATTTATTTTTATTCACCTTTGGAATTTTAATTAACTACTCGATGGATGTTCGAGCACTGCTCCAGCTATCTCGAGGAGAACTGGACATTGCTTGAAAGGATATCGAGCAACTATAAACACTTCAACAATGTACACACGGAATCACACCTAAATTATCGACATATCATCCTCGTAGCATATATAATCGAATATGAAGCATTTTCCAACTAAACAAAGATAGATACATCTGGACCAAAATACCACTTTGTTTACAAAATTAATCGTTTAGGTAGGTCACTTGAAGAGGAACGAAAATCCCATTCTGGTAATTACAATTGACCTTGCCCTCTCACGAAGGAACCAAAAAATCAAAATGCCTAGTTTCGTGGTCCAGAAGCGAATAAGGGCGCAGGAACAAAAATGGACCACCTCTCGCATTGAAAAAATTTAGTTAAAACTATGAAGGCACATATGGCACGTGGATAAGTGTGAGAATTTTTTTTCAGAATGCCAGAAACACAACCTGGTACACCAAGTGTAATAATATAATTGGTTGTAAATTAGTTTTTTCAAGTTTTTAACCAATTATTTTATTACTCATAGTATATTGGACTGTAGTTCTAGTACACTGAAAAATCTCTCATTTAGAAAGGAAAACTTTGGATAATGGAGAGTTTTAAACGCGAATAACATTAACTTAAGCCAATAATCAAGGATCTTTGCAAGCTTCACCAAATTGGTTTATCCCAAGCTTAATCCCACAAGTAACCCATTATTTCAAGGACAAGCTTCCAAAATTTTATTTGTGATTGAGTTAACTAAAAGTGGGTGGGAAGTTGCTTTCATAAAGTAGAACATTGGTCTCAAGCATTTGGACATTGGCTTAGGTGAATTCTTTTGCCGTAATAGTTACACCACTAAGTGATACTATTAGTTTTTTTAGAATAAACTTACTTGACGGATACCATTATAAATAAGGAAAACTAATGAAAAATGTTTGAAAACTTTGAGTTTTAATGATAAGGACAAAATAAACTTTGAGCTTTTCGTTAAAGTTCTCTTATAAATATTGTTTTGGATTGCTTTCAATAATCTGAATTGTCTAGTTTATAGCTCTTCACCAAAAGATCATTTTTGCATAACATCAGGGCGTTTCTAAAGAGAAAATGCAAATTTGAGATGCAAAAAATCATATTTGCACCCATTTTACATTTCCAGCATATGTAAATGAAAGTTCTATCTCAATAGGCTCCAAATTTGAAATCTCAATTTTAACTTTCTCACTTTAATTAGTGGGACTCATTACAAAAATATGTAAAAATAATGTAAACTTAAGTTTTTATCTACATCTTCCGGCCAAGACGTCTAATTTACATTCCGTCATTGGAGAATTTTTCAACAAAAAGAAAAATGTAATAGAGAGATGTAAATTGAGATCCCATTTAGTTTATTTTGATTAGCGGGACTCATCATCAAAAGATGTAAAAATAAATATAAATTTAAGTTTTTTTTTACACCTTCCGGCCAAGACGTATAAATATACATCCGCCACTGAAGAATTTTTCGACAAAAAGAAAGATGTAACATGACCATTACAAGACATGTAAATATTTAATGATTCAAATAATAGTTCATTTTAATATTTTCTCAAAACATCGTATTTATCTATCTTCTTATATACTTTCACAATTTTGTCTATGAAGACTAAAGAAACAAAAAGTTCGAGCCTTTGAAAGAAAATTTAGAGCGGCCTGAACAAGGTGCCCATAAATAAAGTTTTCTACATTCCCTAATAAAATAGGACATTCGCATTTTACATCTTTGAAATATCAATCATGTCGTTCAATAATTTTATAACACATAAATTAATAATAGTTGATTACGTCAAGATAACACTCAAATTTGTTTTGATTAGGTCTAACTTCTAACTTGTATAATTTAGAAATTGACCCCACTACATGCTATTATAGCTGATTCTGACCCTACCTGAATATCCCCATTTTTAATGTTTATGATAATAAATTAAAGCGAAATGGATAGAAGGAGCTTTCAAGATTTAAATAATGCTGCTAAATTTTGTAAAATTATACAGACGCCATCATTGTTATGTAGCTCAAAATATAAAATACCCTAAATTTCCAAGCAGGAAATTAAAACAACGCGGCTTCCGATAAAGGTTATGGACCCGGTGGTTCAGTACGAGGCTCTTGTAAACGACAAGTAAGTTAGCAGAATTCATGCAGTGAAGGTGCTATCTGTGCGGGGTGTGGAGGATTACAAGTAGAAGAGATTTTGCAGATTAGGGTTTATGTGTTCAGGAACTTTTCCAAAAGATTATGATCATGTAAAGTTGGCATCACGGACTACTTAGGATTTTCTGTGTTGGCATTCGCCTAGTTTTTGTAACAATTTTCTTCTCACTGTTACGGGATGTTTAGGTTCGATAACACATTATCATGTATATGTTTTTTTTTATGCATGGCAATGCGTTATTGAAGTGGAACACCACAATGATAGTAAACTCGTCATAAGTAAGTAATTTCCTTAAAACCATGTCATATTGACTCATGTTCTATGTTCAACATTTAGAAATGATACTACAGAATGTCATTGTCTATGGATCAGCCTACACTTGTCACAAATTTTACAAACGAAGACTCTTAGCTATCTTCAAATTTGTCATTCCCTTTCTTAATTTCAAATCAAATTCTAGGAAGTGAAATGTTGAATCCGTCCAACGTTTTCTAGCGTTTTTTTTAAGATAAAACTAACAGTGATGAGAGGCTTAAAAATAACAGTGATAAGAGAGACGATAACATGTTAAATGGTAAATAAAATTATATCACATCTTCAGAAGAAAATACGAAAAAAACCCATTGATGTTGTAACTGTATAATTTGCTGACAGCCACAGCCTGGGCCCAAAATTCTAAATCAGACTTCCAACATCAGTACCAAATATGGATCAAGGCATAGTTTCATCATACCAAATTAAGAAATTTAACCGCAAGATTTGGGAATATAAGTAAGATATGCCACATTTAATGAACCACACTAAATCCACCAAATTCCATGGAAGAAGATTCGAACTTGAAAGACGTAGACATAAAAAGTATTCTCTCATAGCCTCATTCACGTCGACAATAAATACATTTATCAAATTAACGAACATGTTATTCTAACTGGCTTGACTAAACTCTAATTAAACTCGAAATCCCCAAAAGTTTTTGGACAACTCACGAGACATCGCGAATATATACTGAGTTTTCTTCAGTCTTTCGTCATCGGATTCTGTTGCCCATCTCCTCCTCCCCTCCCTACTTTAAAAACAAGAAAATAGGAAATAAACAATTGAATATCCAGCAAAGAGTTTAAAAAATTATTAGAATATAATTATCCACTGAAAAGAATATAAACCATCAGACTGAAAATTATTACCTTCTCTTTTACTTGATTTTTGCACACTAAAATATGAAATTTGTAAAAATATCACTTTATTTATTGCTACTAGTAAATCCGACCCTTACATCAAAAACATAGAAGGGATCAAACGGTTGTTATGCTCTACCATATAAAGCATATACAGGGGCATATACGATATTTCACTTCCTCTAACAGTCAAAAGTACAATTAAAACAAAAAATTATCAAAATTATCAAAATTTTACGGTTCATATTCTATAACAGAAGCCAAACCGGTCACGATCTTTACACCGGTCACCGTCGATCTCTTGGGCTTCAGCTCCGGCGGATTCCATTCCTTCGCCGCCGCCATCGCCTTCTCTTCCTCACCGGAACTCGCCGACAACTCAAACACCGGCGCGTCGCCCAACTCACCATCCTCAACCGAGTTTGTCCCGCCCAGACTCAGTTCCGACTCGCCTGACCCGATCGGTGGCTGAGTCGAATCGGAAGGGGCCGGTGTGGCTCTAGTGTGAGGAGACAGCCACTTGGCCCTGATGTACTCGGCTTTTCTCCACGGCGGAACTGGCATCCCCTTCTTCTTCAAGCTCTGCTTCGCCGCCTCCGACACCACCGCGATGATCCGCCACAGCCGGTCGTGCTTCCCGACGAAAATGTATGGAAGCGTCTGGAGAATCGCCTTGTAGCTCTTCGTCGGCCGTGCGATCTCGAATTCCGATCTGAAATCGACGTCGATCAGCAGTCTCTCTCCTTTGACGATCACGTCAATGTAATCATATTCTCCTGAAAAAAAATAAAAATAAAAAAAAATCAGCAAATTTAGTCCTGATAATTTCCTGCATTTAAGAAACGGCGTCGTATGGTTAGATAATTTTGTGAGGCGGAGAGAGGGAAAGTACCGGCGGGATAGGACGGAGCTTTCTCCCAACGAGATTTGCAGACCGACGCGTCGTATCCGAGAGCTAACAGACTATCAGAAACGACGGTTCTGCAGGTGTCGTCTTTCTGCTTGCAGCAGGCCTTGTTTTTCTCAACGATCTTCGCCGTGTCGGCTAGCAGGTTCCTCTCGCTCACGCTCTGGCACGAAACCAAACCCTGTGGAAAAACAATTTCACGTCAAAACGAAGTCGTTTTTGAGCTGTTGAAACTCCAGAGAATATCAGATATTTTTTGTATACCTTGAGAAGCTCACATGATTCGGCAGAGGACGTCACGTTGGAGTCGCCGAAACCGCCAAACAGCTCCGATTCGTCTTCCGAACTGTCGTTGCAGTTTCCGTTGAAGCAGTTGCAGCGGTTCCGGCTGCACCGCGCCGCAGTCGAAGATTGCTTCTCGTTGCTCTCCTCGATGAAATTCTGAACCATCTTCGTCAAGCACATGGAGCTCGGCTCGAACTCGGCCGATCCTCCGCCGCAGCCGTCTTTGTTGAAATGCGGCTCTTCGATTCCGATTCCGCTGCTGGCCTTCTCCGTCGCCGCTGAGCTTTTCAATACGTTCGTGAACGGCCGCTCGAACAGCCGCTTGAGCCGCGACTTCGCCGCCACCGGCTTGACCGGCTCGAACGGAGTCAGGTCTTCAGGACTCGTGCGAAAATCGATCGGTTGGATTTTCATTGGAAAAGGCATGATCGGCGTGATCAAATTCACGAGAACAAAAAATATTCAGAACCTCCGATCGTCCTCACAAATTTCCTCCATTTCCACAAGGTTAAAGCTTCCTCTCGAGCTTAATCAAAAAATTAAGCCTGATTCTCTACCTATTATACTAATCTATTTTCTCTCCGCAATCAATTACAAAATTCGAGAACGAAAAGCGAAATTTTTCACTAAAAAAAACCGAAATTACAAATTCAAAGCCCGAAAACAAAAGGCAGAGGGTTCTAATGCCGATACATCGATCGAAATCCTTCACTGACAACTCCACAGCATCTTCTCGCCACTGAGATCGATGAATCGAAGCAGAAATCAATAAAATTTGGAGAAAAATAATCCGGATTTTAGCTAAATTCGAGGCTCCTAGCGAGAAGAAGAAGAACAAGTAGCAAGTACCTTTTAATCTCCAATATTATGTAGTTTCTTCTGCCTCCAATTTGCCAAACAAAGCATGGAATAACTTCGAAACTCTGCCAAGTAAAAGTCGCTTTTGCGTAGGATTTTCTCTGGAAATGCGGTTCTTAGGACTCCCGAGATACGCGACGGCACGAGAACGTCATGATGCTGCCGCTGCTGCTCTCCTCAATTCCAAGACGATAGGCAGCCGGAAACTCCATTCTCCGGCAATACCAGTCTCCGTTCGCCGCCGACGAAACCCAGAAATTTCAAGTGGGAGGTGAAAACGAAAGGAGAGCTTCCTTCCTCTGTTTATGGTTTTTGGTGTGCTGCCCAAAAGAGCAGCAGGTGTGAGTTATAAAAGTAGGAGCTGCTGACTAGGACTACGCCGCCACGTGTGTATCCTACATGGCATAGTACCTAATCCGTCACTGGAGGGGTACGTGTCGGAGGCGCGAACCGGGTTCGTTTCGCTGTTTTCTTTCCGTGCTGACACGTTGTGGTTTTGCGGCTACGTGGCGAGTTGGGTCCGCATTTTTTTTACCGAAAGTACCCTCGTTACCGAGGATGTGGTGGTTTTTATTGGGAAAAGGATCCGGATCTTTTTCTTTAGATCTAGAGAATCTTGTAATCATGGTTGTTTATCGCGAACTTATAAATTATTTAAAATTAAATATAAATAATATCTAACGAAAAATAACTATACATAATAAACAGTCCACGGAATTCTAATTCAGTTTTCCTTTTTATTGAACCCCTCGTGATACGGAGGTTCCCAATCCCAAAACCGCCCTCACGTTCGTGGCGTGGTCCGAGTTCCAAAAACAATCGGTTTTTCTGGGTTTTTTTTACTTGTTTTTACTGAAATGTCCTCCTCCGGGTGAGAAGATAAGAGTTGGATTGGGACGGATTTTCAGGCCTCGTAGCTGGATGTGCGTTAGGGCAGATTCGTCATTTTGGTCCTTCTAACTTCCAGGTTGAGATTGCGGTGGTTGGTGCGCCTATATGACAGAAAGGCCCTTTGGCGAACCTGAAATTAACGTGGCCCTTTTTCCCTTTTTAATTTTCTTTTTGTTGTTTTTAGGAGTATTTTCTGGAAGTACCCCTGTAGTAAGGGTAAAATAGTTTTTGGCCCCTCAAAAAATTAAATATAAATTTCTAGTCGCACCATACGTTTTACTTATTTTTGCAAAATTATAGTACAATATTGTAGTATTACAAACAGAGCCGAAGCTAACTTCGTGATGAGAGACAAGTGCTCATGTGACTCGAGGTGTTGTTTCACAAAACGGTTTTTGTGTAGCAAGTTATTTAAATGTATGTCAGCCTTTTGATCAATCCGAAAATCAAACACACAACACAATAAAACACTTATACTACCTTGTATTTTGAAATTTTATCCCTCCAGCTCCCTTTTTCGAAATTATATACAGGCAAAAGCGCTAAAATTTTGGCGAAACCAACCAAAGTGATGGTGAAAGCTATAAAGGAAACTGAAAAAAATAAATAAATAAAATAAAATGAACTAAAGTTTGTGGGGGGCAAAGAAAATTCAGAGGGAGTAGGGTCCATATTTCGATGACCGTTGAGTGCTTGGTGCCACTCTCTTTTTCACTTTCTATTTTTTCTCAAAAAGTATAAAAAAAAAAATTAATAGAAGTACTTTATGGGTGCGTTTGTTGTACCGGATTATCTCGAACTAAGAGAACAGGAAATTAAGAAAAAAATGCAACGCCACGTTGTATATAGGCAGCGTAAAACACTAGAAAATGGAGATGAGCAAAGCATGTCGGTGATGACAAAGACCACACATTGTATATTCCTTCGAGAAAGAGACTTTGAGGCCCTAACAAAATTAACCTAGAACTCAAATTAAACCAAAAAAAAAAAAAAAGGAATGAAAGAAATTAACATCAAAATTAAACCCAGAACTCCACACTGCAACGCCAAATCCATGTAAGTTTTCCTACTAACCAAACAAAATTATCCCAGAACTCTAGAACTCCATAAGGTCCAAGAATGCTCTAAAGTGTGTGACTACAGCACTATTCCTTTCAATGGCTTCGACGACACCAAATCTTGGTCGTCAACGATCTCTTCTTCTTCGAGCTCGTCGTCGTCCTCCCTCAACAACACCAAATGTTGGTTGCACAAAAGATGAAGGTGGGTCACCGCTGATGGCCTGGCCATGGTGACGGCTCCGCAGAAGAAGGCGAAGCGTGGATGGACTGGGGGGTTTAGCAAGCAAAAGTGGGGATTAGATGTTGGCCTGGTTTCCTTCTTCTAGTTCTTGCTAATACCAAGCGAAAGCGTGGGATTAGGCCAAGAGGTTTAGTGAAGCGTGTAGGGACTCATATTCGAGGTGAGTCCCATTTATTTTAGTCCCACAACCTACCAAACGTAGGATTATAGTCCTACTTAAGGTAGTCCAAGCCAATCCCTCCTAAGGAGGTGTAACAAACGTGCCCTATGAGTTTATCCATCTTAAATTATTTTGATTTTTCTTGAAAAACTTGTTAATATTCTCATTAAGTGAATGGTCGATTTGACAAAATACTCTATAAAAATAGTCATGTGAATACCTGATAATTAAATTCAAGGACCAAATAAATTTAGGGACCACTTATGTTGAATTTTATTGTAAAGACAAAGTGAAGAATTATGTCAAATTCAAGGACCATTTCCTCTGTAATGCTAAAGAAAATATGAGATTAATCTGGAAAGCAGGGCTATTTTGGGAAAGCAGGGAATTTTCCTTTTAATTGATGCAAAGCTGTTTGTGTGTCCAGTACGTGGTAGTGATGGCCGTTAGATTGCTTCGGCTGATTGCCAAATCACCCTTAGAATTTGAATCCTCACAGTTGTCGTTGAGACAAATCGGGTTCGGATCTATAGATCCAGCTTTCAAAGCCCGTTAGGACTGGTAGGCCCATAAGTTTTGATGTGGACAACAGTGGGTTAAAAAGGAAAGAGTTAGGTATTCAGGTAAAATGGACCACCAAAAACACTGTTGAAATGACATGTATGTCCCACTAAAGTACCTACGATATAAGTCACTCTATAGTGGGAGTGTAGGATACTAGGATGGTCCTTAAATATTTACATTTAGAAAAATGTTAGAAATACCGTCTTTTTTATACCATATTTTGTAGATCAATGTGGCTTTTGATGGTTAAATTTTCGTTTTTTATGATTTAAAATAAAATTTAACTATCAATTGCTACATTGTGTAATCTATAAATCTGATATAAAAAGATGATCTCATCAACATCATCATTACATTTATCACAAACTCTCAATAAAGATGTTGAAATGATAAGGATCCGGATCCCCTCCTGACCTTTAAAAACTGAGCCTGCTGAGCAAGCGATTGTGACCCTTGAAATTTGATCAAACGGCTACAAACAAGGTGGCCCTCTAAAAATTATAATAATTGTAACCGTTTGATCAAATTTCAAAGGTCACGATCGCTTGCTCAGCAGGCTCAATTTTTAAAGGTCGGGAGGGGATTGGATCCAAATAATAATGCCACTTGATGTGACCATTTGACAAGTACAAGTCCTTTGTGTTTTATCCACACAAAGATGTAGAATGATTGAATAGCTTTTAAGGCTTAGTAGGTGTACTTTGAGCACGAGAGATTCTACATTGTTACCGAGTGTATTCAGAAACACATGATATTTTTCTTCACATTTTCATTAAGTTTGAAGGTCCCCATGAACATGAGGAGCAAAAGTCTTATCAAAATGAGTTGTCCTAGAGTCAATTGAGAACGCACGTGTTACATCATCTCAACTCTTGAAAGGTATTCGCAATATATTACCCATTAAGTGTGGACGTAACAATATCGCAACTCCTAAATAGTGTGTGAAATTTATTGTCAATTGAATGTCGTGGTACTGTCTATCGAGCATGAGCTCGTAATATCTTTTCAATCCTTCATGAGTGTATCACGTGCTCATACTCGATTAACCAAATCATCGTCTATTGTCAAAATATTGACATAATGATTATATTTGATAATTTGTTTATTTAATCAACTGAAATTGAGGGAACTAAAATTTGAAAGATGAAACTTTTTTATTGAATTTGTTGTTACTTGTGGGTTTGAGTAAGGTATATAGTATAGATGATGTGAGTTGTTTAATTATTTTTCTTATACTAATGTTTGCTTTGAGGAGGGTGCATCCTAATGGAATCTTAATTTAACTCATTAATAATTCTACAAGCAAGCACTGCCAAAGCAACCATCATTCATCCAAATTAAGAATTAATACAAGGTTAATTGGAGTTTTGGTCAACTTTAATGTAAAGAAATGCGATACCTTAAGGAGAAGTCAAGCATTCCTAATTTCCGTTCACTATATTACAAGCAAATTGTCAGTTTACCGATAACACGGCTCAGTATACAAGTGTTATAATATAATTCGTTGGAATTTTTTTTTTCATTTCCAACTAATTATATTATGACATTTGGTATATCAGGTCGTATTTGTCACACTGCAAATCTTTCATTGCTTACAGCATCTTCGTTTGTAGGTTTGTAATATAACAACAATTTTCCATCGTATTTAATTGTAGTGATGACGTGATGAAATGGTTAGTGTCTGATTAATCTATGAAGTGTATCTATCTAGGGTTTCACACTCAACTTGATCCAAATTCTTAAGGAAAGATAACTTCTTCTTCAAGCAAGTTCATATGTCAATTTTCACCATTATCTATGGGATCCCCAATTAGGGTTAACAATAGTAAGACGAGAAAGACGAACCGGACTAAATACTATGAATTCGGATATATAACACATTACCGATAATGTCATTATGTGGGCAATTTGAATGATAAAAGATAATATTATGCTTGTATTTTTCCTCCATAAGGTAATTATTTGAAGTGTCACATCCTAACCTGGCCCCCTACCACATCCCGAGCTTGATTCCACCGTAGCACGATATTATCCGTTTTGGGTCTCGACCACGCCCTCACAGTTTTATTTATGGAAACTCACACAAAAACTTCCTAATGGGTCACCCATCCTAGGATTGCTCTCGCTGAGATCTCGTTTAACTTCGGAATTCCTAAGGAATCCGAAACCAGTGAGATCTCAAAAGGCCTCGTACTAGGTGGAGATGAGAATATACATATAAGACTTACAAGATCCACTCTTTTGGGTGATGTGAGATGTTACATAAAGGCATTGGATCTACATCAAGGGAAAGGATGAGTGGATTATCCATAAATAATGGAAGGCATGGCAAAGCTTATGCTTCTTCTGAAAGTAGGGTTTTGCCTAATTGTTACCAACTTTTAGCTTAATTAGGATAAG